AAGCCTCTACTCTCCCTGATAACGTAAATCACACACGGAAGCCATTTTAAACCAGTGATAAGGTTTTTCCATTTAGATAAAGCTCTGACAACTCTCACAGTCAACAATGCCTAGTTGAGTGAAAATACAGAAACCTAACAACGACAAAGATTTCAACCAATTTACTTCAAAATTTAATGCACATCCCCAAAGTAAATGTTCAAGAGGTTTATTGTTTTCATCATAAGACCTCTTCTTCCAGAGTACTTAAATACACCAATAAAAGATAAGGTTAACACTTTATCTACAAATAACTATCTAGAGGCTAATTTTTTTTTCAATTTGCAATGAAATTAGTCTTTTTGATCTGCTTTATTGTTCTCAGTAATAACTGTAAGTGCTGCAACAAATGTAAATGTCCAATTGCATTTCACAAAAATGTTGAACCATTTCTGTCTCCCATGTCTGGTGCCTTTTACCTCAAGGGATTGCATATATCTTCAGACGAGATTTGAGATCTCCACAATCTGTTACAAGAAAAAGAGCATTTCCTAAAACCTATCAAAAAAGCCGGTTCTCAAGAGCTACTGGCTCCTGAAATACTTCTTCCATTTGAATGAGAGCAATAAATGCACTTAAGAAATTAATTTCTGAGGCAACTCCACAGAAATGTCAGAGGTTCTATGTAAAGTGCCTGACAACCAAATTCCCCCGGGTCACTGCAATCAATTAAGCTAGTTGTGAGAAGGTTACAGATGGCAAAATTCAATAATTGGAGAGAGGGCTTGTAAGAGCACTCTTCAGGCCATAGCAGAATTGTGATTTGATATTAAATACAAGAACGTGTGATGACATTTTATCAATTTATTATCATTTTGTGCCTCAATGTCCATCAATTATCAATTAAAAAGGTTTATTTTTGGGTTGTTACACAAGTTTTTTTAGCCACATCCTTACTTGAAAGGTGTATCTATTAATTAATTTGTTCAATTGTTAAATGTTCAAGTCAGTAGTGAGGCCATCTTTACCCAATGACATTTCATGGTTATCCTTTTTAGAGGGTAGGGAATACCTTTTGTGTTCCGCGTGATTGGCCTTATTTTTCAAGCTTGACGTGTTATTTGAGCCCAATATTCTGCGTGAAACATGATTCAGGAATTCTTGGTGATTGGTGATTGAGCTGTTTTAATCTTGGTGATTGGTGATTAAGAGGGGGGTATTCCCTACCCTCTTTATACAGCTGACCATCCTCATATCCCAAAGTCAATGTGCTATAAAGCTCTCTCTCCTAGTCTGGATAATTCCAGTTGTAAGAAACTTTATACATGAACCAGGTAAAGTTAGTTTGGAGCAGTTTTGAACTTTGACTGTGGGAGTTTTTTTGTAATGATCCTATTTGGAAGTACGTAGGAACATGATTCAAGTCACGTTGGTTTGGGGTTATTGTTAAAAACTCCCTAAATATGTATGAGTTACGTACCCTAGTTGGGCTTGAGGTCAGTGTGTAAACCATTATCTCAATCCTCCTGTCCATCCTGTTCACTTTATACATCTGTGTATAAAATAAAGTGTGTCATATAATCTAAACAGTAAGGACACCACAACAGATTATGTGGAGATAACTTTGATAAAATTCTACAACAGTAATTTTGCTGTCCACGTTGTAAAATAACTGGTTTGCTGAACCTTAAAAGAAAATTTTCTTAGCCTAAGACTCACATTATAAAATGCTTTGTTACAAATATTACAAGGATTATAGAGACATGGGGTGGAAGCTACTCATAAAACATTTAAAAAAATTAAGGACACAATACCATCAACCTCAAATACACCGATTCAGTGCTGACATATGATTTACACTAAATACACCTGCAAACATTCACATTTCCTCATAATTTACTTCAATAAATATTCTAATAAATAGTTTAAACTACAGACTGAGAAATCTGATTAATTTTTTCTTCACTTACTTTGAGGGCAATTTTTATCACAGTCTCTTTCCTATAAAATATTACATTCCAAATAGGCCAATTACCTTTTTAATTCCTCTAGTCAAGATTCTATAAACGTATGCCAAGGGTTTTATTTCAATGAACACCAGGTCTAATCTAACACCAAATTATTTAATCAGAATAATACAAATACAGAAGTTTGGAGAGAGTTCAGCAATTGTGGTAGCTAAGATAAATGCATCTTGACACATAGCTCACCAGGCACATTCACAACTGTCCCATTTGGATGATTTTTCCGGAAGACAGGGTTCAAGAAATCTTTATAAGAGCCTCTCCTGAAGGGTTTGTTTCTTCATTTCAAGTAAAAAGGTAAATTTAAGCAAAAGACCCCTTACAACAATTATTTGTTAGAAACGACTTCTTGAACCTGGTCCCAGTTTTGATGAGACTTAAAACTCAGAGATCAAGTAGGCCTTTAAGAAGTACGGAAAATGCAAGTTCCAAAGGCACAAAGCTCTTTGTTGGGGGTCCAGAGGGCATCAATAATGCGTCCAAATTTCCTGGAAATCTTCATCTCTAAATTTAAAGTTTTGAGCATTCTGTTGAGCACTCAAAACCAGGATATTAAAAAATAAGACTGACAACTAAAGTTGTAGTTTATTTTTCCTTATAAATAATGATACAAGATTATAGAGGCTCAGAAACATTTCCATGCACTGCTGCTCTCAAATTAAGCCCATTCCCTTGGAAAAAGCACATACATAAATAAACAGTTGTCATAAACCAGCACCTTGTGCTTAACATGAAGGAGTCAAAGACTGGAATGTGCAGAATCCAAGACACACAAAGAAAAGAAAATCAATTTTCCCATAACATGACATTCCTAATAACTACTTTCTTTAACATAACACTATGAGACAGTCATGTACTGTGGTCACCCAATCATCCCTAAGACCACAAAACAACATGTTATGGGCATAAAATTAAAAAGCAAACCTAGTTTAAGTTTTCACAAATGAGAGACATTATTCATCATAAATTATTGCCAGACATATTCTTAATCTTAAATATCTTGGAAGCCCCATAAAACAAAATTTGCTGGTGCTCATTGCAGAGGCTTCAGTCAGCATCAATATTTAGACTTTGCCAACATTGAGACTGAGGAACTCTAAAAATTAACATCATGGTTCCTTCTTTCTGGTATTTAAGGGTCATTCCCACTGAAACTATCATCATAGGTAGATCGATCCAACTCCGCGGGGAATCTAGCAGAATGCAATCAGATAGACACGCCTCTTTTTGGCATCGAGTAGAATACTGAAAAGCTGGTGATTATACAAGCACAATGGATCAATCTACGTAGAATGTTACTTTCACTGCGTATGAGCCCCAAGCCAAATATGATCATACGGTATATTTATAATGAACAGGGTTTTTCACTCAGAAAAGCTTTCATTGTGATTACTGCAGAATGATACAGTTCACAGTCCAATTTGTTCATGAAAAAAAATGACAAAACAAACACCAGGTCTCAAATTGCACAATGCTGGTTTTAAGTTTCACAATACCATGCGAAAGGCAACCAGTTTCACTTAATTTGCAAAATAATACATTTTTAGTAACACACAGTATAAAAGCATGACTGAAGTCAAAAATAACTATGCAAATACATAAACTTTATAAGATTGTCAACAAGAAAGCTGAAAGACAATGCAAGCCAAAAACTTTGTTCTCAAAATTATTTTGCAGAAGACTTGCCCATTTTCTATAACTACAGAGCATAAATCATAATTCAATCAAAATGGCAATGGTAAAAAAGATAGCATAAGAAAATGATTTGGGAATCTTTCTCCAAAAACAATAACCACAAAAATAGAGTAAATTTCTACAACAAAACCCCCAAAACAAAGACAAACTTTGGTGTGTGAGTGCATGCATGTCCTTTCCTGTAATCAGATGCTCATTATATTAAACTAAATGATATCAAAAAAGAAATATAAGATCTTACAGGTAGATAGTACAAAAGCATGAGTAAGTTGTGTTTAGAAGAAAAGATCTCCATCAGGAGCATAAAAGAAATCAAGTTATTATGTCAACACAAGGCCATGGCAAGGTATACAATAGTACCCAGTGAGGTGACAATGTCAGCACAGGATAGAAGGCAATAAACTTATCAAATATGACGTGACTCACTGGAAAGCATGTGTCGAGGTTAAAGTGCTCTGCTCCTTCTTGGATGGTGCACGTTTGAGGCAGAAAATTACATTACATCATTGTTAGGGGATTATGCAGCTTGCTTTCAAGTGCACGTCATATTTGACTACTTCGTCTGCAGATCAACTGGTTTTGAAATGCTCACTAAGAGAGGCAAGTATATTTCTGTGCACTATAATCATTTCATTGTATTCACATGTGTGTGTGTTTGGAGCAGCATGTTCCTGCATGTACATTTTCAAGTAGAATTCTCTGCCAGATCAATCAATATGATTTAATACCAAGCAGTGAGAGGGCACTGTTTAATGTGATAGCAGTTCACAGACCCAGCTGTTGGGTAGCCTTAATGATGACGGAAAATTACATTTGCATAAAGCAGAACTAACCCACAATTATCTAGGCACACAGACCAGGCAGAGCAGTAGGACAATCCTTCAACCCTAAATACTGAATTTGTTATATCTTACATGAACTTTTTACATAAATGCATTCTGAACGTAAAGGATATAAAACAATTGCTAACTACTGACAGTCATTCAGATTAATTTATAATCCAACTTTGTCTTAATACATATCTAACTTAAATTAAAAAAAAAATCATAAAAGAAAGTATATATTTACAGTCTGAAGAGAGTTTCTTGGTAACTTAGATATCATATTCCTGCATTTACATGAGCAAAAAAAGATATTTATAAATACGAAGTCAAATGAACACGGTACTACATGTACCAATACAGCCTGCTGAATAATATGAATTATTAAATACCATCTGACACATTGTCCTCTAATACTTGTAATTAACACCATAAGCCTAGGCATTACACTTGGCATCGTATGCACTGCTCATTATTATTTCAGGAAAGTTAGCTGTAGGAACAGATACCTACAGCTAACTAGGTGCAATGATGGGCAATGATTTAATGAAGATAGAAACCGAGGCTTATCGCCAATAACAACTTGAAACATAACAAAACGTGAGCACTCCTGTAGAATCCTTCACCCAACCTCTGTGGGTATGTGGTAATGGTGGCGCTGTCTGCCCTCTCTTATACTTCCTCAACCTTGATGACTGAAATAGGACAGGAAAAAAAAAATCTTACTATGGCCATAATAATGGTGTAGTTACAGAATACTGACATACTAGTATACATGTACTTTGTAAATTTCATGAATTTAAAAATAATCTCATCTTTCAAATATATATACAGTGTCCATGGTTGAGAGGGTTTTTTGTCCTAATTATGCTCAAACATTTCAGTGCTGTAAAAACAAAACAATACAATAATAATAATAATAAATAAATAAAACTCAGTAAATCACTTCCTCACCTGCATCAAGTCTACCTCTTATTGCTGCGCATTTCAAACAAAGTGTTGTCATCCTCTTCATCGCTTTGTTCCAAAGGCCTCATTTCCATGTTGTCTGATGTCGCCAGAACACCGTACTTCCTGGATTTATTTTTTGCTTTTCTAACCCTAAAAAAAGCACAAAAATATTATTTTCAACACAAAATCTCCACAGTTTTGTAAAGGCCAACATGTAAAACCACCTATATAGTCAGAAGCTCCTTATAGACTCTACATTTTTACACTTCGCCATTCATTATTCTTAAATCTAGAATTTAATTTGTAAATATTATAGTAGTTTTTGTTCCCAATGATGTGACAACTAAATTGCTATCATACATGCATTAAAGAATAATTTATTTATTGCTGTGGAAATCTTTAAAAAATTAAATCATTTTCATCCAGACTCCAGAGAATATGGAAAATTTTACCCTTACATTCATACACTACCAGCACCAGGATACATCAGTCTAACAGACTACTGTGTGAGGATCTATATTAGTTGTAAGACCATTATTATGTGGGGAAAAGTAGGTCAAAATAAAATCAACACAACTTGGAGGTCTTCTGTTGCATATACTGTTCCGTACTGAATAATTATCTTGTCATCTTTGCAGAAACCACGCCTCTTTCAGTATTAAACTCAACTTTTCAGTTCTTTAGCTCACCCCAATAGTCTTTGCAAAAATTAAGTAAGGGCTATTACTGAAATCTACAAGTTTATTAAAATAAAACTAAACAAAATGAATGAATGAAATTAAGTTGAGATCCACCTGTGGCTGGTGAGCAAGGATTCTTAGCACATTAAACTCTAAGTACAAAAGATGTCTGACTTTCAACACTAAGTCTGAGAGTTACGACTTGTCAGTAAAACACATGCAGCCCCCTTGGCATTTAACAAGAGTATAAAATCTTCAAAACTGACACTTTGTACAGGTATTTCTCTTTCAGTCAAATGAGTAAGAACCTGGCCTGAGTCACAATTTGGAAGAAATGGTGCCGTCATTGCCAAAATTATCAAAAATGTCAAAATTATCCTTTAAAAAGTAAAAGGAATCAGACCTTGGCCATATTCAAATCCGACCTGCATTTAAGTCCAATGAGAAACCAAGAGTTTGAAGCAAAACAGTAAAATGGCAATAACTGTGTTCAGTTATTGTTGTTAAAAAAATTCACACTGCTGCAGCTTCAGTTCTGACGCCAGGTGGAGATGCTGGCAATATATGTACAGACACCACCACCTGCACATGTGATAGAAGCCAGAAATAAACTACTAGGTAGATGTCAGAAATAAACTACTAGGTTTTTGCAGTAATGGTGGCACCTGCATTTGTCAAAACTAAACTTGTAATTGTATGCAGCGTTTCTTAAATAATAAGTTTAATCTCAAATAATGGCAGACTTGAACTTGAATCATGAATATATGCTACTGTATTTATCACTGGCATGGGCATTTATTATAGTCCAATAACTGTTGAATAACAATTAACAGGAAGATTATTTCTTACCTGATATACTTAATTCCAAAATAGACAATGACTATGAATGTCACCCCCAGCAGCACGTAAAAGGCCCTCTGCAACATGGCTCGATTTTCATTTATTTTTTTCCAAATATACCCCGTCGATACTTGTTCTGTGTCATTGGTCGTCGTACTGTTACAGGTGTTATTTTCACCTGAACTGTTTGTGCAAGGTGTTGCCACTGTTGTTGTGAGTGTGTCATTTTGTGCTGCTGCGTTTCCTACAGATCTGTCGCCCGCTGTCTTTCCTTCAACACTGGCGCTGTCAATTCGAACAAGTAATAAAACGACAACAAGGCAGCATGTTCCAAGTGCAAGCACGCCTGTCCTCTTAAACTGATCCATGTCTGTTTTAATCTGATCTTAAAGCGAATTCTATAAACTCATTTTCCACACCAGCAAGCGTAACTGCGTTTTAACCAGCAGCCAGGATCTGCTGACTAGCACATCATCATCCAAAAATGGCGTTTACTGACGACAGCTTCCGGTTTAGAGGCTATTTAAAGTTTTTCTACTTTATGTTTAAAAAAGCACATTGTTGGTATTTTAAGAATGGCATTCAGCAGTAAAGCGCTGTCGTTTTATTTGCTTATAANACGCTGTCGTTTTATTTGCTTATAATCATGTTTGATTCCACTGTTTTTCTCTTGCATTTCGGCATAAAATCAAAAATATGGCGTGGAGAGTATAACACAAGCCCATGTGTACCTTAGCAGTAGGCTGCTGAGCGGAGATAAACGTAAACCGGCGTCAGGTTGTTGCACTGAATTATTTCAGTTTCAACTGACACATGATGAGTTCACTATTAGATGGTCATTTAACAAAGATAGTGTTAGTTGTACTGGTTGCCACCGTCGTAAGATGGTGTGTTTCGCTGAACTCTCATTCAGGTAAGACATTCAAATGGGAGGCATATGATAATGATATCCTGCAGTTCCCGTTTACTGATTCTTGTGCTTCAGCTTCATTGCTGGGCAATTTCTTCATTTTGAAACCTCCACTAAGCCCGTGTATTGACCCTGACCTTTGCTGAGTATCTGTTCTGTATGCACCTACCGATAAAGCAATTCTTTCATTGTTGTTGGTGTGATAACTATAAAGCTACAGTGCATGCATATCTGCCAACGCCAACTACAGGTATACTCAGTATATTGCTTAACCAGTGAGAGTGTTGAAGTTAAATTGTCAACAGTGTTGATGACAGGGGGGTAAAATGACATTACTCTATCTTTCTTGATTGCCTCATGATTTTCTTCAAATTTCTTGTAAGACGGCAAGTTACAGAAATTGCTGACTCTCGAACGTTGTTGGAATTTTAAAATTCTGTGGAAAGTGTAAATGCGATTGAAACTTGCAGAGGTTATTTAGACTGGCAGGCTTTGGCGACAACTTTGAATTTAGTTTAACTGACGGTTAATAACAAACTAAAAAACCTAATACCTTAAGTTGTGTTATAGTTGAACTTTAAAATGGGACTACTTAAGCCTCCTCCATCCAGATCTAATATTGCACATTAAACCCCCCCAGTAATTATCTATGTTAATTATATACATTCAAGGTCTAATTTATTTTATAGGACAGGGGAAACCCCCAATGTTTGGTGATTATGAAGCCCAAAGACATTGGATGGAAATCACAGTTAATCTGCCTCCAAAGGAATGGTAATGAAAAATCTGAACTCAAATTATATATGTGTACTTCATTTGTTCTAAAAATATAGAATTGAATAATAAGACCAGAATTCTGTCCATAAAATAGTTTTTACCATTCAATTGTCTCATTTCTACAGATATCTTTTTTCCATTATCTTTCGTTTTTAAGGCAGTCACCCTGAGTGTATATGAAAAGAAAATCAAGCGATAGTTTTGTGGTTTTTAAAGTATACAAACATATTTTTTGGTAAGCTGAAATTCATTGTGTTCAGATTATCCAGGTGTTTGCAGAATATCGAGCATACTTTTCTGAATTTACTGTTTTTTAGGTATTTCAACAGCAGTGCCAATGACTTACAGTACTGGGGTCTGGACTACCCTCCTCTTACAGCATATCACAGCTGGTTGTGTGGAATGATGTGAGTATATCTACTCTACATGTATATGTAAACTAAGACACCCCCACCCCCCC